AGCAATTTCATTAACCGTTCATATTATTTGTTGTAAATTACAAAGTGCAANGTTTTCTACAAATCTAGTGTACATAAGCATATTCAAAAGCAAACTATATCGCTTTATTATTTTCGTGAAGAGATTTACGATATCTGTAGATTATATTAAGCAATTTAGATTATTTTATGCAGAAATTAGCAAATAGACTATCATTAACTTTCACATTACGACCTGATGATCGGATTAAGAGTAAATCCCTTGCAATAAACTATAAAAAGCTTTTAATTTCTTTAATAGAAAACAATATGGCTAATTCCATGCGGTGATACGAGTAATTATTAGATCAAAGGCAGCAGAGACAACGAATAAAATACTCCTCGTTCATTCTTTATAGAGCAATGTTACGTTTTCGAAGATCTTCTTTTACTCAGTAACAAGGAAGATTTCGTAATATCTTCTGATGAGTCTAGTAGAGCTAGAGTATTAAACTAAACTTTATTGTTTTAAAACAACGTTTAATAAATGAAGAGAACCGCCGCTAGCGTACCTTGTTTTCGTCCTTTTGACTTTTGTTTTGACTTTTTAGAGCCAATCAAGTTCGCTATTGGCTCTTAGCTTCATCTCCTACTAAGTAGGTAATCCTCGGCTTGTGCTGTAACCAATCTAAATCAATCAACACGGGCAAACCATGATCTCGCAACCGGTCCAATATAGCGCTAACATTAAATTTAAAAATATCTAATTCCGATGCAGATCGTAATATTACAATACGATAAAACTGCTGCTGACGATATAATTTAATAACTCTTGACAGACGTAAATTTTACCGTCGAAAAATTCCCAGTTAGTATTATATGGTCTTCGCAAAGGATAGGATGTGTGTTATAGTACGTGTATAAGTTTTCCTATTGTGTTATTTCATCCGGGGAAGATGGTTAAGGACAGGGTATTAGTCGATTTATCCCGTGATATTTCGAATACTATTGTAATGAAATTTAAAGTGTAGAAACCAAGCTACTAAATTTCTAACAAACTATGATTCTACTTTCTTAGCATTCTGGTCGACTTTACAAAACTTTGACTCCAAATAAAATTGGGGAAACAACCGATCCATAATTTACTAAGAAAATATCAGAGAGTCTGATCAAACAACCTTCCAAATACTTAATTATATGTATTATAAGTAACGAATTAAAAAATGACAGAACTAAAACTGTCATCAACCAAACAACCTAACAAGAAGGAGAATGCTTTGACTTAAAACAGTTCGACCCCAAAGGCCTTTAAATTTCAAAAAATTCCTTAAAAGAATCTTCTTTTGCTCTCTGCTCTAAATCTTCTGATTGCACTATCATTTTTAGGCTTCGCAGAGCCCTTAAAGGTACTTAAATCGAAATATTTACTAACCAATCACTCTTAAGATCCATTTTAGAAAACTACTTTGAACCACTTAAGAAAATAAAAATCATTCAAAGTTCAGACACAAATTGCCTTATGATTCCCTTAAACTACGGTGAGACGCAAGCTATCTACAAGGAATCAGAGCAAAGAATCTGTGTTATCAAAAATCTGACGCAATTACTGTAGATAGAAGTCTTCGATGATATGTTAAAGCCCATAGTGTTATCGATCATGGTAGAGATTGTATAGAGTATATATTACATTTTCTTATAATTTTCTTTTAATAAATAAATTGTTTTGTCGTTTCTAACTGATGAGATAAGAAGACGATACGATAATATAAAGTCTGTTATAAGAGAATCGTAAACAATTCTATCGGAATCTTGCTGTAATAATATTTGAACATTTATGATAGCACATCATAATCCAATACTAACAGGCGATCTTAGTTCACGCCATCCTTTTTTCATTATACGAATTAGAAATTTCTATTGCAAAATTGAACATATGATTTTATTCTAGAAGTTGACAATGATTTGCAGGGAAATCAATTTATTTTACAGATAACGATAGCTACACTTAATACGGAGCCTACCCGAGACCTATATTCTACCGGTGAGAATCATCTTAATAAGAGATGTAGAACACAATGTGTTCGAAACGTCCATCATGAAATAAAAGTATCACTATTATATATAAATCAACACTTAAGGTATTAAATTTAAATAGTTGATGTTAATACATGTATACTTAACTACGCACTAGTTAGGCTCGATTTTTCTACAATTAATAAAAAGATCTTTTGTTGTATATTTACGGAAGAAAATCAGCAATACTTATATATGAGAAGAAGAGTTTATTAACTAAATGAATAATTTAATGTTTCAATGATTGATTAAAGTATCTTATACCTTAATTGATGGAATAGTTACTAATAAATAAATTTAAAATTATATCCAGTCACTTAATAAACTATCGTAAAAATTAAAAGATTAAATTTAGCGAATTTAACATTTGTATATGGTGATTGCAATTAATTACTGACAGTAGGAATCACTAAAGTTATAATATATTCAAGTGAATTGTATGATGTACTGTAATAAATAGAATGCAATTTTACTGAAATGATTCTGTGAATATACATACTGTAATTTAACTTTTTAAAATTAGTCTATAGACGTCCATATCTAGAAGTGCTATTGCAAGATGACTTATCAATGTAAGCTACCACCGAAGAAACTTTAAGCTCGGCAAACAGTTAAGTAAAATTAGTTCTTTAGTTGTGCAACAAAGAATCAAAGGCATTCAAGTTTTTATGAATAGTCAAGGGATAATGTATTTCAGAGACTTTAGAAATGTAGTGATTTTTTTATGTGAATATCGTCATAAAGCTGGTTTGTGACGTATGTGCTCACTCTATAAAGAATAAAAGAGGAATATTTTATTTGTTGTCTCTACTGTCTTGATCTATTATTTATCACTGCATGGAATAAGTTATGTTTTTTTCTATTGAGGAAGCTATATTGTTAACTATTAAAGAAAACAAAAGCGTTCTATAGTTTAATTATGCGAGATTTATCTTAATCCGATCATCAGTTCGTAATGTAACAGCTAATGATAATCTGTTTGCAACTATCTGCATAAAATAATCTAAATTGGTTAATATAATCTACAGGCATCGTAAATCTCTCTAGGGAAATAGTAAAGCGATATAGTTTGCCTTCGAAAATGCTTATATACTCTAGATTCGTAGAAAATTTGCATTTTGAAATCTACAACAAATAATATGAACGGTTAATGAAATATGAAAACTTTAATTGATAGCTGCAATAGCGCCATCTTATACTTATGTTATGTGCTCCATTTCCCTGAATAATTGAAGATATAACTTCAGTCGAGCATGTTCAGCTCACCCATTTAGATTTTTACATCCGTATATCCAATCACGAAAGATTATAGAACAATTTCTTATCTCAGACAATTAACGTAGAAATATTTGTTTTTATCATTTATTGATTTGCTAATAGAGAAGCATTACAGCTAATAAATTTAAGGTTTAGTGAGTGATTAATATCAAAAGGAGCTTCCAAGATGTTTAAAATTGCGAAGTTAAGGTTAGCTATCCGTCGTCAAGTTATCTATATATAGACTTGAATTACTTACATAATATTATGTAGTACATGCGAAATAAATATGATTCATTTATGCCAAAATGTAATAAAGCGTCTTCTCAAAAATAAAGTAAGAACTATCATTTCTTGTAATCTTAACTTTATTACATAAGTTAGGCTCATCTAACCAATTACAGTACTTCTAAGGTAGAATGCGTGTAAAGAGGGTAGAAATGCGAACTATAATTATTAGGAGGGAGGGTGGAATACTAGTAACCATGGATGGTATCTTTATATATTATACTTGATAATTACGGTCTATAATCAAAGATTTTGAACAAACGTTATCCATAATATATGTCTGGTTTCTATCTATCTCATCCCAATGTAGAGATTTATCTACTTCTTTATAATCTGGATAGTTCTCGTTGTCAATTAAATAAGTGACACACGATCGTAGAAAATATCCTGATTTCTGTAAACGTTTAGAATAACCATAGTACATCGTTTTAGATTGCGTAGAAGGTATACATGAATCGAGTAGATCACCATTAACAAGATTAATACTATTAGTTGAAGCACTAGCACAACTTTGATTAGCGCGCATAATCCATGGACCATGATAACTAGTAAATTGCCCAAATATAAAATACTTATCATCAAGCGAGACAAAATGTTGACTCTTTGTCTGACTATAAATGACTTCGTGTAATTCATATGCAAGTCTACCAATATTTGATGACATAGTAACAACTAAATAATCATAAATTTAATTGATTTTTTGGAGGCTAGTAGAAATACATCTCGAATAAAGTATTTTAACGGATGAACAAATTGATAGTTTGGATACTTTGCTATTAGTTGATCAACAAGTTGTGGCTCATCAGTGACTACAAATATTCGCTTTTTAAAATTGACTTTTTGACTAACTAAACGATCATAGAATGCTTTGACTTTGATGATGTATTTGTCAATATTGAAGAGCCTTGTCTCAAGCTTTTTATCAGTATGTCTAATATGGAGACCAACAATCGGCGATTGAAATCGTAATTTTTTCCTAGATTGATCGATAAATTGCTTAAACTTATCATTTGGTCGTACAATGTATTTAGATAATAATCCTATCCACCAAGCTATAGGCTTATATTTAAAGTTGATAGCGTTATAAAAGAGTTCAGAAGGCATCGTATTATGACAAATTTTGGGAATATGTTGTTTCTGTCGCTCTATCAGAACATTATGCATTAATCGAATAATGGATATATTGTGGCTATAAATTGATTCATTTTTAAATTTAGGCCATGTTACTGCAATCTTAGAATCATAATCTGTAAGTTTACACTTTGAAATAGGTTGAAATAAATCTTCAAATCCATTTACACCTTCTGAGCTCATAGGTCTAACACCTTTCAAATACTCCCATTTCTTGAGATCAATCACCATAGTACGATTAGTATTATAGGCAAAATTTAAGCAATAAGACCAGTGATGAATTGTCGACCCCATTCCAGCACCCCATGCATCACAAATAACTTTTTTAGTAGTCGAACAATCGATAGGATACTGTAAATAATCGAGATGATTACGAACAGTTTCGGAGAGATCCAAGCATTTTATTTTCAGCAAGAATAATAAAAACTGCATTAATAATGTAATCAAATACATAACTATTTCTCTTATCGTATCTACAAGTATTGATTTAAAATCAAGCCACAATATTCTTACCCAATTCGTACTTGCTTTCGAAGGTTGATGAGGTTTGTCTTTTGACTTTTCATTTAACTTTGGTGTATTCTGAATCGATGTATTTGAAACAGGTTCTAATTGAATCTTTAATGTTGGATGAATTGTGTTTTGGACAATAACAGATCCCTTTTTTGATGTTTGCATCGGTTTATGCTTAAAAGTAGATGATTGCATTTCATATGTCGATATTCGATTAATAAGTGAATTAGGCTGAGTATTCAGTTTACTATTAGTTTTACTTCTAGATTTATGTTGCGAAGTAGAAGCCGATGAAGAAATGCTATTATAGTCGAGAAAAGAGGTGGGATTGACAATAGTTTTAGCTGTAGCTTTGGATGTTCGAGATGAGCGTAATATTTTGGCGATGCTAGATGTAGATTTAGCAATCATTTTTGTCATCAATCGAAAAGTTTTAGGATCGATAGACGTTCTAATTTTATTATTAGATTTAGTAGCTAATGTAGAAATTGGAGCATTTCTGGATATCGATTTCGAAACTAACTTTGATAGATAACTTTTAGTAGGATTTAGTTTTCCTTTTAATAGACGACAGCTTGTGATAATAGAAACTGAAGTAATACCTGCTTTCGATTTTGAATTTTGGCGAATTGTTACACGATATTTTGTAGACGCAGCAACCACACTTCGAGCAGTGTTAAATTTACGAATTGATCGGAGATAAGAAGCGATAGTCGGCTTAGGGTGACGAACTGATTTAAGATTTTTCGATATTGAATTTATTTTGGAACCAGTTACATTATTCACAATAAGCTTTAATGTCGATTTCGATTTGGATATAGGATTAGATGCAGGTTTTTTGTCTTTATAAGCTGAAGCATTCCTATCCTTATCTAGTAAATTATACCAGAGAGAGATTAGACATCGTTGAATAGATTAACGGTGTGCAATCTTAATTTGCTGTACTTAATTTCGACAATTTTTACTGTATTCTCGTTTATATTAGTATAACACAAAATATTATATTTTATTAGCATTTGACAAATTGATAAATGTGATAACTAGACAATGATTTTATATTGATAGTAATGAATTATTATGTTTTGATCTGCGGATTAAAATGATTTCGTAAAGAGGGCGAATTCGAAACAGTATGGGATATGCTTGTCACGGTACGAACTACCGTGAAGAAATAGATATCTAAATTTGGTTAATATAATATAGTGATATTATATTACAACTAGTCACTTACAATAGGAATTACTCTAATTATAAATGTGTTACAGTAAATTTATTGCTGTGCTGTAATGTATACTGAAATGATTCTGTGAATGGACATATTGTAGTCCGACTGTGAAAAACTAGTTAGTAGATGTTCTCATCCAAGTATTTTTATAAGATGACTTGTGAATGTTAGCTGCTGTAGAAGGGTATATAAGCCCGTCAGATAGTTGAATAAAGCAGTTCTCAATTGTATAGTTATTTTAACGTAGAATCAAAGGCGTCTAAATTCTTGTGAGGTAGTTAAGGGATACTGAATCCCGGAGACTATAGTAATTTAGAGATTTGTTTTACGTTATCCTTGTCACGAAGCTGGTTTGTGACAATGCTATACTTATATTCATATTTGATGCAATAATGGATCCTACCATTGAACTAATGATTTATGATACCAACATGTAGCACTAGATAATGATTGAGAGTGAAAATCAAGTGAATAACAGTTAACATGTTAACTAATGAATAGTAGTCATTATTGCAAAATTACAATTTTAATATTTTAGTGATAGTTATCGATTGCAAAAGTTAAGAGGTAATTTACAATAGTATTACGTAAGGCTATATGAAATATTTTCGAACGCTGTGAAGCTATCTAAATGGAACATGTTTATTAGCTTGCTTATAAATCTGTGGAAATATCCAACTGTGATAAATCTGTTATAACCCCAGAGTTAGGTGCAGATAGAAGTAATCTATGATAAATCAACGAATACAGTATATTGTATTATAGTAAAACCTAACCAGACATTGAGAACATGATGATATTATTTTTGAAATGTTGTATCCTACCGAATTGCTTAGAATTACCGGAATTTAGATCGATTTTCTTCCATTGAATATTTCCAATTTGTAAATAGTTTTGATATTCTTCCATGTGGCAATAGATTGTCCACAGTAAAATGATACAAGCCAAGGAGATTGCATACTTACAGAGTTTTCTTAGCTTCATGGTTAAGAAGAATCTTTAAGATTCGGACTTAA